CGCGTTCCTTCCAATTCTCTCCAGTTTATACCGCTTCTACCAAAATCGTGTTTGCAAAGATAAATAATACACAAGGCATCGCAGAGAACTGGAGACTGAGTAACAGCAGGTAATTTCATCCCTCATATATATAAATTTTCCCCAACAATTGCGAAAAAACAGCAGAATTGAAGTTATTCAGCTATGGAGTTTGAGGTGAAACTGGTAGGGGGAATTGAAAGCTGCTTTATCTCTCTTCCTCTTCCACTCATCCAAACCCTACAGTCCGGTTACCTCCCTCCAATTCTCGCAGTCGAGCTCCGCTCCGGTGGAAGCCTCTGGCACGTGGCTTGGTGCGGCTCCGCCTCTTCCTCCCCTTCTTCAATTGAGGTATTGTGCGATAATCTGAAATTAATTTGAGTTTATTTTCTATTAGTTAATTTTGTTCGACGAAGTTTTTGTATCTTAATTTTTTAGCTGTAAATTGGTAGATTGCTCGTCAGTATGCGGATTGCATTGGATTGAGTGACCGGACTGCAGTTAGTGTTCGTGTAGTTAGTCATTTACCCAAGGCTACGCTGGTGACAATCGAGCCGCTTACGGAGGATGATTGGGAGATCTTGGAGCTTAATTCCGAGCTCGCCGAAAGTTCTATTCTGAAGCAGGTGATAATATGCTTTGATTTGATTATCTGGTTTCGTATTCGTGTCTGCGCATAAGAGCTTTAGTGTATTTAAACTGATTTTGACGATACATTTAGAAGTTAGAAAATGTAGTAGCGCTTATGTGAAAAGGCCTCGTCTCAAGTTGGAATTTCAGTGAATGCAGCATTTAGGGAGGGTTTGACTTGATCATTCAAATGTTAGGAATTGAGTTAGGGTGTGAACAGTTTATATTAAGATTAGTTTAATGGTCAAATTTAGGTGGTTGTGTGCTTATAATCCATGTCGTATGCAGGTTGGAATTGTTCATGAAGGGATGAGATTTCCATTGTGGTTGCACCGACAAACAGTTGTCATGTTTCTTGTCATGTCAACCTTTCCCCAGAAACCAGTAGGTAAACTGCATACTTCTAGTTTCAGAATCCTACAAGTCTTATTCCTATTAGATTTTTCTACTTTAGTCATGTAATACTCGTTATATTGCCCCCAGCTTAAGGAATATATTTGGTGTTTCATATCACCATTGCTAGGGTATGTGTTGTTATATATAGTTCATGGTGAACAGAATGTAATTGTTCTCATGCCAGTTATTTGACCTGTGAGGTTGATTGCAGTCCAACTTGTGCCTGGAACTGAAGTTGCAGTAGCTCCAAAGAGACGTAAAAATCCATCCACACAGTCTTCAGAGGAGGGTGGTTTAAGTGCGAAAGCACAATTGCGTCTCCAAGATTCAGACAGTAGATTCATTTATAAATGTGAGGAGAATGGTGTTGAAATGGACGTGGTGTTCACTTCTGGTGTTTTCATCCATCCAGAAACAGCTAAAAAATATTCATTCGCTCCTCTTCAGTTTGTAGTGATATGTCCGCAAAAACTTTCAAAAGATGGGAAGAAAAAGTTGCATTCGAAAAGTGTTTCAAAGGAAAAGGAAGCCAACAATGGTAATCCTATCGATAAGCGGGATGACCATGAAGTCGTCGTTCGTGTATTGTTATCCGAATCAGTGGCTAAAGGACACGTAATGCTATCTCAGTCTCTTCGCCTCTATTTGGGAGCAGGAATACACTCTTGTAAGTTAATTCTGTGCGCAAAAAAAAAAAATCTGTGAGAGTTGAATGACATAATCATACTGAATATTTTGAGCTATCATTACTAATAATCGTTATTCATTTCCTTCCTTTGTTATGTTGATGTTCGTGCTATGTTCATGGAATTCGTTTATCTATTCTTCTTTCAGGGGTATATGTGAAAAGGTACAACATTAACGCGAAGAAAGATATACCTCTAGTTTCTGTTTCACCTTTCCATTTCAAGATGTTTCAAAACGACGAAATTATTGAGAATAGCAGTCTAGACGTTGTAAGTAACCATGAGAACCACAAAAGAAAAGACGCGATCAAAAGAATCAGCTCAAATGCAGAAATGGGTATTAGTGATTGGTCTATGCATGAAAAGATTATTGCGGCTCTTTCTTGTGGCTCTCCCCTTGATGATGCTGAAGAAACAACTACTGCAATTGGAGAAGCACATAGGAAGGTTGGCTATAGAAGTGGTTTATCATCTCTTTTGCGTGCATGGTGTCTGGCTCAGCTTCGTACACTTGTTTCAAATTCAGTAGAGGATGTAAGTTCTTTGGTTATAGGATGCAAAACATTACTACATGTAAAAATAAAAAATCACAAACTTTTGAGACACGGCAAGATACAAACATCTAGAAGCAAAAACAGAAACCAAGCTGAAGAACCATCAGTTGATGCCCTTTATATTTTGTCACTTGCTGAGGAATCTCTACATGATGGCATTCATGCGTATGAACTTGCATTTGACAAAAGCAGTTCGGATAACTATAGTTCCAGAAGTTTAGACACGTTGCTTGGAAAGCTGCAAGTGGGTGATATTTTATTCTCTCCTGCAGCCCATGAGAGACGAGCTGATAACTTCCTTAGTGCAGCAATTTCTTCATTGGATTGGATGGGTGCAGCTCCATTTGATGTAAATTACAGTAGGTATTTTCTCGCCTAGTTTTGGTTCCATTTGATGTTGTAAAAGTCTGCTCTTTATCTGCATGGTGACCTTTTTATCTAAGTTGGGGATTTGACCTGCAGGGTTGATAGCGTTATTATCTCCTACTTCTGGAATGTTGTTCAGTAGCTATAATCTTCCATTGCCTGGGCATATCCTGATCTACGGACCTCCAGTAAGTCTCATCCCAAGTAGTTCATTTGGTTTCCTCGATGCAACATTAATGGGCAAGGAATTTCTCTGATGTCATGAATATGATGTAACTATTTCACCATATAATACCTTTGATAAGTTTTTAACCCTTCTGGATAAAGTACTGTTGAAATTATCTCATCCAAATGGAATAAAGGAATACATCAACCTTTTGTTTCGCGTTACACTAAAGATGTTAGGCAGTTCTGATGCTTAGGATTGTCTCTGGTTGCTCTGTTTGTCCTTTAAACAACTCCAACCGCTTGGGTGACCATTAAATCTAGGAGAGTTTGAAAAAGTAGAGTGAGTGGAACTTGCACAGAAGGGTACTTGAACTTCCTTCAAATGCTTTCCACACGTCCTTTTAACTTATCGTCTCATGTATTATTCATTTAAAATGTCAAGCACAACGCAGGCAACTGAAACATAATCATGCATCCTTCACATGATTGTAAGTCTCACTTGGTTTCTCTCACACCAGAGTAAATAGATTTTTCCAAAATATCTACTAGTGGAGGGGGGTAGGAGACCATGCAAAATGAAGAACTTATCTAATTATAAAGATAAAAATACAGTTCTGAGATCTGATAATTATTTATGAAGCAAGATGATTTTTATCTACTGAACATTTCGGCTGTGTAGGGTTCTGGAAAAACATTATTGGCGAAAGTCTCTGCCAAATCTGTTGAAGAACGTAAAGATATTTTGGCACACGTGTAAGTCCTCTCATTGAAAGTTACCAAGTTAGCTTCTTACGACTTTCGAAGTACCTCAGTTTAATTACTGCATGAAATTACATGGTAGTTAACCTGAATATTCACTTACAAAATGATTATTTTCTGCAGAATTTTTGTTTCTTGTTCTAAACTCACTTTGGAGAAGCCTCCAACGATCCGTCAAGTGCTTTCCAACTACATCTCTGAAGCTTTAAATCATGCACCCTCGGTCATTGTCTTGGATGATCTTGATAGCCTCATCACACCTTCATCAGATCTAGAGGGATCTCAACCTTCATCATCTTCTGCAGCACTCATCGAGTTTCTTGCTGATATATTAGATGAATATGAGGTAAGGCTTCTTATATTGTCCTGCTTTCTTTTTCTCTGTCTTTCTGAAACTTGCACCAAAGCCACTGCGGAATAATCTTCTCCTACCTGGGGTAACAGTGTTTACAAATTTAGCTTCCTCATCAGCAATTCCCTTTGCCAGCACACATTTAAATATTTCACACTTTGCCAATAGTTTTAGTGGATGACACTTTTCATAAATTTCTTTGAGCACAGAGATAGCTACAAATGGGCCTACATAGGACATGATATGTTGATTTTAAATGCATTTTTCATGTTCCGATGATACAGGAAAAGCAAAGGAGCATGTGTGGAATTGGACCCATAGCATTCATTGCTACTGTGCAATCCCTTACTAATTCTCCACAGAGCTTGAGCTCTTCCGGTTGGTCACTTTGCTTTCAATATGTTAAGGTCTCATGTTATTTCTGATGACTTGATCTTAGACCTACAATTGATTGAATCAGGAAGATTCGACTTTCATGTCAATCTGCCTGTACCTGCTGCTGCTGAACGTGCTGCCATATTGAAACACGAGATGCAGAAGCGATCCTTGCAATGCTCTGAGGATCTGTTGTTAGAGATAGCATCCAAATGTGATGGATATGATGCTTATGATCTGGTATTTGGTCGGCGCCAAACTTAACAACACCTTGCTTGAATATGACTGAAGTTCTACTTATTATCCGTGTAAATTTGGTTCAATTCTTTCTGGTAACCAACTGCACCCAATATTTACTTATACTCTATCTATCCGTTTTAGGAAATACTGGTCGATAGGTCTGTGCATGCTGCCGTTGGTCGCACATTGTCTTCCGATTTGGGCAATGGAGAAAATGAGAAACCTACTTTGCTCAGAGATGACTTTATGCAAGCAATGCAAGATTTCCTTCCAGTGGCCATGCGTGACATCACTAAACCAGCTACTGACGGTGGTAGTTCTGGCTGGGATGATGTTGGAGGTCTCAATGACATTCGAAATGCTATAAAAGAGGTAAATTTCCGCACCTGTGGTGTAGAGTGTAGGTACATATGCATTGTCAATTGAATGTTAATGTGTGTTATTTTTTTTGCATTAGATGATTGAGCTACCCTCGAGATTTCCTAACGTCTTTGCACAAGCTCCACTGAGAATGCGGTCCAATGTTCTCTTATATGGTCCCCCGGGTTGTGGAAAAACGCATATTGTTGGTGCTGTTGTTGCAGCCTGCTCACTGCGGTTCATCTCTGTTAAAGGGCCTGAGTTGCTTAATAAATATATTGGTGCTTCTGAACAAGCTGTAAGATGCAGTTAGTTACCTTTAATACTTCCCATTTTTTCTACTTTTTTGAGGTCATTATGTTTTCTCATTCTCCTATTTGTGCTAAACGAGACAAACTTGCGTGTAGCATGGCTACTGTTCACTATTGTTGTAGTTGGATAAACTTCCATAAAAATCATTTATGTAAATAAATTTACCTCCTTAATCGTTCTGTGCGGAACTATCTAATATGAATATGCAATATGCAGGTTCGGGATATCTTCTCTAAAGCAGCTGCAGCAGCTCCATGCCTTCTCTTTTTTGATGAATTTGATTCTATCGCTCCAAAGAGAGGACACGATAATACTGGAGTTACTGATAGAGTCGTCAATCAAGTTAGTTTATTTTCTCCTATCGTATCCAATGCTTTTATTCACTTCACGTTTTTTTTCCTGTTCTTTTACTCTATATTTGCTGACACTTTCATCACATAAACTACCAGTTTCTGACAGAATTAGATGGAGTTGAAGTCTTGACCGGTGTATTTGTTTTTGCTGCTACTAGGTAAGTTCTTCCCTCCCAATACTTCGACGCTGAGTGATATCATTATCTTTTGAAACTTTCTTGCATTTTGGTTACTATTAATATATGTCTTTATTTATCGATTTTTTCTGCAAATTTTTGGTTGTTGAAAATCAAATAGTCGGCCGGATTTGCTTGATGCTGCCCTTCTACGGCCTGGTAGGCTGGATCGACTTTTATTTTGCGATTTCCCATCTCAGCAGGAGAGGCTGGACATTCTGAAGGTCCTTTCGAGAAAGGTTAGTACATATATCTGTGATATGCTGAACATTGATTCCTTATTTTTTGTGTTTATTTGATCGAGGAAGAATTTTAAATGATAATTTAACTTCAATATACTTTCTCCAACTGTTCTCCTACATTTGAACTGCAATAACCCGTGTTATTTTCATTTTTTTTCCCCCGCAGTTACCGATGGCTAGTGATGTTGATTTGGAACGCGTATCACATATGACTGAAGAGTTTAGTGGAGCAGACCTTCAAGCTCTTCTTTCCGACGCACAACTCGAAGCTGTCCACGAACTTTTGGACAGCAAAAACGGCGGCAGCACAAACGGGGAGATGCCTGTCATAACCAGTGCTGTTTTGAAATCCATTGCATCCAAAGCTAGACCATCAGTTTCTGAAGCTGAGAAGCGAAAGTTATATGATATTTACGGCCAGTTTCTCGATTCAAAACGGTCCACTGCTGCTCAGGTCTCTCTCTCTCTCTCTCTCTCTCTCTCTCTCTCTCTCTCTCTCTCTCTCTCTCTCTCTCTCTCTCTCTCTCACACACACACACACACACGCACATGCACACACACACGCACACACACACACACACACGAGTCCCTGTGTGATTTTTACGGGCTTATTATTTACGTGCAGTCGAGAGATGCAAAAGGCAAAAGGGCAACTCTAGCTTAGTTTAATCTGAAACGCAGTGGAGGTAGTAGTTTCGGGCAATTCAGTGGCGTTGAGTCACTTCTTTTCTTCATGTGTTGTATTAGATTAATTTTAAACTTAATATTAAATAAAATAAAATAAAATTTTATATCCTTTGCTGGCTAAAAGTCTTGTCAAAAGTTGTATTACGATTATTTTTCTTATAATAAACAACTTTCACTTATTTGTTTTAGTAATTAGTAAATAATGGATTCAGACGTCATTAAATTAGGTCAAGTGACGAGATGCTTTCTTATATATATAAATAATAATAATAATAATAATAATAATAATAATAATAATAATAATAATAATAATAATTTTTTTAGCATTCCTTTTGATGCCTTTTTTTTTACTGATTTTAGCTTCAATGTGAAGCAACTTTCTGTTAAAACCGAAGTCATACAAAATTTGTAAAGAAACGAATATTCCAAGGATTATGCCAACTTGGAATTAATCATTGATGTGAAATCCCAGTCACCCAAAAAGTTTTGGCTTTTGTTATACATTTACATGGATGTTTGGTGTAATTAATTCTTACATGGAGGACAATTTGGTCTAGATGAGGCTGCGTTATTGATTATTTTTATGTTTGAAAAAAATTTAAAAAAATGAGTATTATGGGATCTCAATCAAACAGATCTGGCACGTTAGTATATGTGTTTTTTTTCTTTCTTTATTTGAAACAAGCATGAAATTGGAGGACCACTTGGTCATGTGATGGTCTCATGCGTACGTATCGGTCATGTAAATGCTACACTGGGTGAAATATACTGAATGATTCTGAACAATTGATCTACACATAATAATATACATATTAAAGTGTATGTGTGTTTAGTGGGTAGTTATCTGTATAGAACACTAATGAATGATCACTCAATGTATTTTACTAGGTGCTGCATCTCTTAGAACGCACGTATCTGATTCTCGAATTAACGGTTAATTGCTCTCATAGTTTTTATTTTTATTTTTAGGATAAATTACGGCTACACCTTATGTAAGGTCAAATTACGAAAAACCCTTTCATGTTTGCGCAACTCACCCTTAACTGTGAATTTTCTTGCGCGTCCACCCTTGCGGTGTTAAATTAATAATTACGTGGAAAACATTCTCCAGTTTGTACCTGTTTTATCCCATTCGATCGATCATAAGATGTGTCTTTTGATTTGTTAATATCAAATTGTGGTGCATCAGAAACTGTATTTTCGCATAAAACCAGTACAAACTAGAGAACATTTTACAAAATGTAAAAGATTCTGTTGAATTTGAAACCATAGGGGTTCACGTGTAAGAAGATTCATAGTTGAGGGGTGTGGTTGTAATTACCAAAACAAGAAGAATTTTTTTCCGCAGTTTGACCTTACCTACGTCAAGGATGGCTGTAATTTACCTATTTTTACTTTTTTGGATCTTAAAAAAAAATCCGATCCGATTGCCTAGTCGAATAGGAAAAATAGTAAAATACCCAACCTATAGGAAGAATAGAAAACGAGAAGAGGAATAATAATATTACGTAATAGAAACCCCCATTGTGTTATGGGTTGATTACATGGAATATATATAGAGAAATAATACGAGGTAATAGAGTTTGACTAGGTAACTAAATCCTAATTAATCTAGGTAATCGAATCATACTTGAATCCTAATATTAGGAGAGTTCTATAATATAATATTCTCTAACACGCCCCCGCAGTCGAAACGTGACGAACGTGAAGACTGGACAATCACTTGCTAGCACGCTCCCGCAGTCGGAACTCCAAAAGTGAAGACTGGACAAAAGTCGCGAAACACAACGCTAGAGAATTCATCTGTTGAAATATCTGCCAAATTTAAAAATAATAATAATAATAATAACGGGGTGAGAGAAAAATAAGCAACTTTTTTTTTTGATAGAGAGAAGAGATGAGAGAGGGGGGGAAAGATTGGGTGGTGTTCGCCGGCCATGGAGAAGAGAAGAGGCGGCGGCTAGGTTTTAGACCATGGAGAAGAAAAGAGGAAGAAGAAGAAGAAGAAGAGATAGAGAAGATGCACCACCAGGGGAGGGAGAAGAAAAATGGGGTGGTGTTCATGGAAAAGATAGAAAAAGAAAGATATTAGGAGTACCACCACCGGGGAGGGAGAAAATCGGGTGGTCACCGCCATGGAGAAGAAAGACGGCTAGGTTAAAAAACCTGGTGCTCTGATACCATATAGGAAGAATAGAATAGGAGAAAGAGAGAAATAATAATACGTGATATAATAGAAACCCCCATTGTGTTAGAGAAATAATACGAGGTAATAGAGTTTGACTGGGTAACTAAATCTTAACTAATCTAGGTAACTCAATCATACTAGAATCCTAATATTACAAGAGTTCTATAATATAATATTCTCTAACACGCCCGCGTAGTCGAAAAGTCAAAACGTGACGAACGTGAAGACTGGACAATCACTTGCTAGCACGCTCCCGCAGTCGGAACGAAGAAACTCCAACGCTAGAGAATTCCTCTGTTGAAATATCTGCCCAATTTAAAAAACATAATAATAATAATGGGTGAGAGAAAAATAAGCAACTTTTTTTTTTTTTTTTTTTTTTTATCGAGATATAGAGAAGAGATGAGATAGGGGGAAGAAGATTGGGGGGTGTTCGCCGGCCATGGAGAAGAAAGGCGGCGGCTAGGTTTTAGACCATGGAGAAGAAAAGAGGAAGAAGAATAACGGAAAAAATAGAGAAGATACACCACCGGGGGAGGGAGAAAATTCGGGTGGTGTTCACAGAAAATATAGAAAAAGAAAGATAGAGAGAAGAGTACCACCACCGGGGAGGAAGAAAATTGGTTTAGTGGTCGCCGGCCATGGAGAAGAAGAGAAGCGGCGGCTAGGTTTTAGTCCATGGAGAAGAAGAAGAAGAAGAAGAAGAAGAAGAAGAAAGAGATAGAGAAGATGCACCACCGGGGGAGAGAGAAAATTCGGGTGGTAGAAAGATAGAGAGAAGAGTACCACCACCGGGGAGGAAGAAAATTGGTTTAGTGGTCGCCGGCCATGGAGAAGAAGAGAAGCGGCGGCTAGGTTTTAGTCCATGGAGAAGAAGAAGAAGAAGAAGAAGAAGAAGAAGAAGAAGAAGAAAGAGATAGAGAAGATGCACCACCGGGGGAGGGAGAAAATTCGGGTGGTGTTAAAAAAAAAAATAGAAAAAGAAAAAAAATAAAGAAAAATATTAGAGTACCACCACCAGGGGAGGGAGAAAATTGGGTGGTCACCGCCATGGAGAAGAAAGGCGGCTAGGTTTTCACTGTGGTCACCACCGCCATGGAGAAGAAAGGCGGCGGCTAGGTTTTCACTGTGGTCACCACCGCCATGGAGAAGAAAGGCGGCTAGGGGTTTTCACTGTGGTCACCACCGCCATGGAGAAGAAAGGCGGCTAGGTTTTCACTGTGGTCACCGCCATAGAGAAGAAACCTGGAGCTCTCATACCATATAGGAAGAATAGAAAAAGAGGCCCGCATGAGTGTAGCTCAACTGGTTCCGGAGGTGGTAAGTTGGTGCAAGGTCCTAGGATCGAATCCTGGCAGCCGCAGTGTGGGAATTTCAACTCCAATGAGTTGGTTCCTTGTGGGCACCAGGTCCGGGTCCGCTACCTTAACGGGCCGTTGAGTTACCATGATTTACATACATTCCTCCATCAATCACATTCCTCCATCAATCCTTGTCGGCCCAAGGGATGGGGGCCCTGGGGTCGAGGGCCAATGGATGATTTACATTCCTCCATCAAGAATAGAAAAATAGAAGAGAAATAATAATATTACGATAATAGAAACCCCATTGTGTTATGAGTTGATTTACATGGAATATATATAGAGAAATAATAAGATGTAATAGAGTTTGACTAGGTAACTAAATCCTAACTAATCTAGTTAATCGAATCATACTAGAATCCTAATATTAGGAGAGTTCTAAAATACAATATTCTCTAACACAACCCAATATCTTAATCGGATTCAAGTTACTAAAAAAACTCGAGAAAAAGACCGGACCCCGACGCTACGCAGTCTCTCTCTCTGGAGTGGTCTCTCTATATAAATAATAAAATATAATATTCCTCTAATTTTCTAGTTATATAAATACATACACTGTTATTCACATCGGACAACTCGCATTCATTTATACTCCCGATTCCCGTTGGGATTGCTGTATTTCACACCGGAAATTGACGTCATCATGGCCACTCACACCGCCGGATCAGCCGCCGACGACCTCTCCAAACTGCAAATCGACGACTGGGTCTCCTCCGCCGCTCCAAATCTCCAGAAGAATCTCTCCCTCCTCTCTCCTGAACAGGTTCTCGCAATTTTTTTTTTCCTTCTCTCGCGTCGAGATCGTTTAATTGTGCACGTGCATGCCCTGGCACGCTTGATTTGTTGTTGGATGTGGTTTATAGATGATTCGTTGGGTGTGTGCGTGTAGGTGGAGTTGGCGAAGATGCTACTGGAAATGAATCAAGGGCATTTGTTTCAGCATTGGCCGGAGGCCGGGGTTGAAGATGATGCCAAGCGTGCGTTTTTCGATCAGGTGATTTTTTGGCTGAATTCTGTGTTTGTTAAGTCTGTACTTGCTGTAATTGTGTTTTATTTTCTGTTATGCAAGGATATGTAACTTTAGATGTGGTGGAACGAGTATCGTTATGGTTTGAGATCTCGATTTAGTTTTTTAGAGTAAATTTTGTCCTTGAATACAGAGATCAGAATTTCATTCCTTAGTAGGTTTGGTTCTTTTCGTTGATTTGAGATCTTTGGCATTTCATCATCGCAACATTTTTAAATAGTCTTGATTTCTAATACCATAGTCGTTTATGAAGTCAAAAAAAAAAAAGAAATTGTAATTCTAATGATAAATATATTGATTATTTCACAATTCGTTGGGATTTATCTGATATTATATTGAATGTGTTCTTACATCTTTGTTGTTATGTACATAAATTTCTGTTTTGAATCAATAAGATGAAGTACAGCTTTGTGCATTAATGTTGTAGTGTCTCCTAGTTTGAGAATTATGTCTATTCTTTTACCTTTTTCATTAATGCCTTTGCCCCTTTTATGTCTTCTGACTGTTACAGATTCTGCTTTTACTTTTCTCTTCCTTGAAAATAAATTCCTCAATGAAAGCTGATATTTAATTAGTTTGATTGTTACGAATAAACCTTTTGGCCCATGTCTTTTGTCTTTCAATAATTTATCAGATCGCTCGACTTAATGCAAGTTATCCTGGGGGCCTGGCATCGTACATTAAAACTGCTAGAGAACTTTTGGCAGATTCAAAGGCTGGGAAGAACCCATATGAGGGATTTACTCCTTCAGTAAGTCAGTTTCTCTATTATTTTGCAATTTGCTAAAGATATTTCGATGTTTTTCTTGTATACCTTCATGAATAAGATTGTAATTTGTCTTGTGCGGTACTTAAGCACCATCTGTATTTTTATTGAAATGTTAGATCATGTGTTGACCAGGTTCCATCTGGAGAGGTTTTAACTTTCGGTGAAGATAATTTTGTGCAATTTGAAGATGCTGGTATCCGTGAGGCAAGGAAGGCTGCATTTGTCCTTGTTGCTGGGGGCCTTGGAGAACGTCTTGGCTACAATGGTATAAAGGTAAGACAGTGATTCTGTAGATTAATGTGATTTTTTCCAGTGTAAAGTTAATGGTCCCGCACTTTTATGATGTTATGCAATGGTTTGTCATCTAACACTTTACTCAATGTAATGCAGATGATATATTAGTATTGTAAACTTTCTGTGTGCTTATAACTTTAACGGACGAACTTCAGTTATTTGACAGTTTACCTTTGCCCTTGCAGGTGGCTCTGCCGTTAGAGTCCACAACTGGAACATGTTTCTTACAGCACTACATTGAATCTATTCTTGCTTTACAGGAGAGTAGCTGTAAGCTAGCACAAGGTTCGTTTATTGAGTTTCTTATAGGAGCAACTTTTCTTTTAGGGAAAAAAACATCTGATATTTCTTTTACAACTGTAGGTGAAGGACCAACAGAGATTCCTTTAGCCATAATGACATCAGATGATACGTATTTACGCACCAAAGATCTCTTAGAGAAAAATGCTTATTTTGGCATGAAACCCTCGCAAATAAAGCTGTTAAAACAGGTGATTAGCTGACCATGTCTACGGAGTTTAGAAAATTCTGAACAGCATCAGAATTACAACTACATTTGCTTTTGCTTTTCCAGGAAAAAGTTGCTTGTTTAGATGATAATGATGCCCGGCTCGCTGTAGATCCACATAATAAGTATACCATACAGGTAGCTTTTAGATGCTGATTTTTTTGAAGTAGGAAAACCAAATCTCATTACTTTTTTCTTTTCAAAAATATATTTCTTATTGTTTTTTTCCAACTTGGTGGTATAGACAAAGCCTCATGGTCATGGGGATGTTCATTCACTTCTCTATTCAACTGGCCTCCTTAAAGAATGGTATATTTCACACACGAGTTTATTTTCCTCTGTGCTTTTGAAATGAAATTTTGTTTGTTATATTTGCAACTTTTCTTAGTCCAATTTAATATAATATTACTATGATTTATCGTATGATTTCCATTCCAGGCATGAAGCTGGCCGGAGATGGGTTTTGTTTTTCCAAGATACTAATGGTCTTCTTTTCAAGGTTTAATTGAAGTTTGATTTTCCATCAATATTTAATTTTACATGTAAGATATATTTTTGTCAACTTTTCGGTCCTTTTTCATATTACAGGCAATTCCAGCTTCATTAGGTGTGAGTGCCATCAAAGAGTACCATGTCAACTCTCTTGCAGTTCCTCGGAAAGCTAAGGAAGCTATTGGAGGGATTACCAAGCTCACTCATCAAGATGGTAGGTTGTATTGACAATAAATGCTTTGCAAAATGTGACTTCTGACAATTTCTAGGGGTATGAAATAACCTGTTCAACCTATGTTCTTGTACTCTTCAAGTGGACTCTAAAGGAACTGAGCTATTAAATCTTTGTGCTTGTTATACGGTTTGTAGCAAGTTGTTCCCCGTCGTGACTTCACAAAAACATTGGATACTTGCTGCTTACAGTAGTTGTAGTGACTTCACTTTATCCAATTGTGTTGCGTTACTGAAACAGATTCTTTTGGTCAGGGAGGACGATGGTGATCAATGTGGAATACAACCAACTTGATCCATTGCTGAGAGCTACAGGGCATGCTGATGGAGATGTCAACTGTGAAACAGGCTTTTCTCCTTTCCCTGGAAACATAAACCAAGTATATATTGTCTAAAAACTCATTATTGCATTTGTTTCTCTGAGTATGTGGAGTAATTCCTAAAAAAACGAAAAAAAATGATTTTTTAGTTCCTTTTGTTTGATGGGACTGTCCCATACAAATGCTTTGAGGGTCTAGCTTTCTAGAGTTAAGTACGATATTGTAGCAGTCTCTTTTCCATGGAGGTTAACGGTTGGCGCTATATTTTTTGCTGCAATTTTATGGCAGTCCTTTATCGATTTAGGTTTAGGATTGTTACAGATATTGGCTGTGAACAGAGGCAATTATGCTAAAGTCAATATGCCGGTAGATCTTGCATCATCTGATTATTTCTATACCTGGCTGCCACATTCTATCGAAGTCCTTTTTTCAGTATTTTAAACCATGAGGCCAACTGCCAGGTTCCTAAAGCATGTAAAGTTTAACAATCTATGGATGATCTGAAACAAGTAGTAGTATGACTATGACAAATGATGGCATGATGTTTCATTGTTTGCTCACTGTAACTTTGCACATCAAATCATCTTTGTTTATAGGGTTGACTTTTTCAGATGTGTAATGCAGTTGATTTTTGAGATTGGCCCTTATCTGGAGGAACTTTCGAAAACAGGAGGATCCATTAAGGAGTTTGTTAATCCCAAGTAAGCTCTCAATTCTTTCAGATTTACCTAGGTTGTAAATTGCTCTTGGTTTCTACTATCCTAGCTATAGGTGTGTTACTAATGGTTTTTTCTCTGACTCCAGGTACAAAGATTCTACCAAAACCGCGTTCAAATCATCTACTCGACTCGAGTGTATGATGCAAGATTATCCTAAAACTCTGCCACCTTCAGCTAGAGTTGGATTTACTGTAAGCAGAAGCTCGAACTTGTTTATTTGACAGCTTGTCTTCAAATCCTTTTTTTAATTCGGAGTTTCTTATGTGCTATAAGATTTGTCTCTACTGTTGTCATGACACAAGTAGTTTTATGACCACTCAGGTGATGGATGCTTGGTTGGCTTATGCACCTGTTAAGAACAATCCTGAAGATGCAGCTAAGGTACGGAAATATTTGTATGGGATTGATTGTAGGTGCACATATAATATTTCATATAAAGTTAGAATATGCCATTATTCACATGTTTTTTGAACTGACTGGAGAATGACAAACTGAGAACGTAATAATTGGGAAATGTTAACAGTGTCTCTTTGTATTTTGTTTCTATATATTTCGAAATTGATTCTCTGTATCTTATCATCTCGTATTCACATTTCAAGGTACCTAAAGGCAATCCATATCACAGTGCTACTTCAGGAGAGATGGCCATATATAGGGCAAACAGCCTTATTTTGAGAAAGGTACTTGGTTTTTCAAAAAACTTCCATCAAGATAAGAGTTAATATGTAGTATCTGTAATTCATTAACATGAAGGAAGTAATATAGGGAAAAATCTTTACTACTCCATGCTCTTTTGGTGACTAGCCCACCTTAGCTATATTTTTGTTTTATTGTCCTTTTCGAAATCTTCATTCTATTATAATAGACTCGCAAATCATGCAAGAAAATGCTTCACAATCATGAAAGTTCAGAAATACATGTTTGACAATTGACTCTCAAAAACTCCGTCTTCTCGGAATCAGAGATGATTGGTTTATCTTCGTTTCCGTGTATCTAACAATTTAACTGGCTTTTTTACTGGATTATACATTTCACTTCATCTAAATTATAACAATTTTTTTATTTTCTGTAACTCGACCTAAGAAATAAATCTTTTCATTCTCAAATGCATTATCTAATCTTGTTTGGATTGTCACAGGTTGGTGTTAAGGTAGATGAACCAGTTCAACAAGTATTCAACGGACAAGAGGTGGATGTATGGCCTCGTATTGTATGGAAACCCAAATGGGGGCTTACATATTCAGACATTAAAAGCAAAGTCGGTGGAAATTGCTCCATTACAGGAAAATCCACCATTGTCCTAAAAGGCAAAAGCATCAATCTCGAGAATCTCGCCTTGGATGGTGCCCTTGTTGTAGATGCTGTCGATGGTGCAGAGGTAGATACCATTTCCATGTAAATATTCTTATCAAATATCCTTATTTACATACGTTGATTTTAAAATAATTCACTCAACAGGTTAAAGTGGGAGGTTCTGTGCACAACGCGGGATGGATAATCGAAAACGTCGATTTTAAGGATGCTTCAGTACCTGAAGAAGTGAGAATCAGGGGTTTCAAAATAAACAAAATCGAACAGGTGGAGAAAACATACAAAGAGCCTGGAAATTACTCAAACTGAGAGGCCCACTTTCGTTGAATTATTATTATTATCAAGTGCGGTAACAAATCGACACTCATCTATCATTTTCATTTTTGCTTAAATAATTTTTTTGGGACTTCTGCAATTTGTCGGATAGTTCTAACCGAAACTTCATTGATTTTTTGTGTACCCCCTCCCCTACATGAATATTTTCAGCTAATTAATAAATGAAAAAAAACCGTCCAGATTCCATTTTTTCGTCGCTTTCATTTGTTTTTCTAAGTCTACTTTGTGTGCAATTGTAGAACTTATTGACTTGGAAACCACTGTAGATTATTTTGAAATGCGTCCAAAATGGGGCAATATTTCTACTGTCTAATTCTATAAGTACTAGCAAGGGGTATATATTGAGTATTGACTATGGAATAGCGACTTCATATATGACATTCGGAAAATTCTTCGAAAGTCGAGTATTTTTTTTTTTTTTTTTTTCTTTTAGTAAAGTAGATTCACCCTTTTAATTAGAGAGTGGAAATTAAAATTTATAAAGCGTGTTTCTTAATATATATTTCCAACTTGAAACTTCAAAGGAATCTTGAGGAAACATCAATGTGTTTATGGCTTACATGTTTAGTGCAAAATGATATATAAAATTCGACGAAAAAATATTCTATTCCGAATAGTTATCCATTCATAGATAAATTGAATTTAAAATAGTACGCGTGCATTAAAAAAATATGTGAAATTGAATTTAAAATAGAGTGCATTAATTAAAAAAAAAATACAACTGATTCATAAAAGATTTCATAAGTAACTTGTTATGTGATGGTATCGTGTTTCTTTTTAAGTGTCGTTTAAGTTAACCTACATCCGTTAAAACAAATATGAAATATTTGACAAAACTACCCCTTTATAATTTTCAACTTCTCGGAGGAGAAAAAAATTGTTGTACATTGAAACTCTAAGGTGACACTTAATATAGGAAATCGAAAACTGGCTATGAGTCACTTAGAAAGAAACGGAAGGAGTAAAATACTGATAATCGAGGATAATTTTTGGATTGTAGTGAGATTTGATTATTACACGAAATTATTTTTCCCACCGTTGCACGGAAATTAATGCCGTTGATTAAATTATAGTAAAGTTAGAATCTTCTTCTTCTCCAATTTTCCTGGACAAAGTCATTCTGCACCTCTTTAACTCATATGCATAATAATACAATCTACTGTACATTCTGCTGCTTATTAAGAGACTTATTACAAAACAATAATAAATTTGTAAATATATATTAAAACAAAAAAAGTTTAAAATATTAAGGTGTGCTGCCCACTAAATAAGATCTTTTCATCCTTAAAACCTGATTATTAATTGTTTTTAACAGCCATAACCCACTTTTTAAATATTACTTTCCCAATAAAATATTTAATATTAAAAGTTAAATCATTATTTTTTTTCCATATTTAAACTTCAAACAATAAGCAGAAAACGTTACTAATTTATGCTTCTTTTTACGAGTCTTCCCTAAAAACAAATTATATATATATATATATATATATATATATATATATATATATATATATATATATATATATATATATATATATATTATTTTAATTTATTTTCTTCTTATTAAATTATTCATTTGACCGTTAAAAACACGGTTATATTGATGATGAACTTTCTCACCCACCCCCTATATATAATAAACTCAAGAAATCATTCCAACATAGCTAAAACATAACAAGAATTTTTGTTCACTATTGCATAGTTCTAGATTTATTTATTTTTATTTTATTTATTTTTTATTTTTTTGTTTTTTCTTCACATGTCTCCAATTAGCCATGATGACTTGCACAGAATTTTCAAGAACTTAGACAAAAACAACAAAGGCATAGTAAACGTCGAAGAGCTACACCTTCTCCTCGAGAAAATCGGTGTCCGCACAACTTCCGAAGAGCTCGAAAAGTTCGTGGGAAAAACGAGCCTCGATTACATTGAGTTCTTCTTCTTCTACGAGGCAATGGTCAAGGCCAAGATTGCGGAGAAGGAATCCGACGAAGATTCCTCGGACGATCTCTCCAAGGCCTTTAAGGTGTTCGATTTGAACGGCGACGGATACATTACGTGCGACGAGCTGCAGAGCGTGCTCTCGAGATTAGGGTTGTGGGAGAAACGGAGCGGACAAGATTGCAAGGACATGATCCGCGTGTACGACGAGAATTTGGACGGTGTGCTCGATTTTGAAGAGTTCAAGAATATGATGTCGGCTTCTTCTAATTCCGAGAACATTTGATATAAAATGATATAGCTATATATATATGTATATATATTGCTACTTCATTTTTATTTTTTTTTACGAGATTGATTTTTATCGTTTTGCTATTGACTTTCGTTTTCGTAAGATATTATAGGATCTATATTTTGCATGATTCTATTCTCTGGAGAGATGTATTTTGATGATTTGATCATGTTTTCTTGTTTTTCAATTTTATTTATTTATTTCTTTCTTTTTTTGAGTTCCCTTTATCTGATATTTTAAGTAGCTTTAACATTTAAAATATAATAATTACTCAAGTCAACCATTTGTAATTATTTTTTAATTAATTATAATAATATTTCTACATATGATTCTTCAATTATGGCAAATGGCAGATAAGTGATTATATCATTAAAAAGCCATTAGCTTTTCATTATTGCAGAAGGCAAAATGCTAACCATTCATACAGACAAAGAGCTAAAAAACAGTTCGAAACAATCACGATTACTAATAAGTTTACGTCAAATTCAAGAAACATACAAATTAAATCGACGTGTGTTCGAGTATCGATTACGACTTAGTAATCGTTAATTACCAGAGCAGCCCTTCTTGAATTAAGAGTTGTTCTGCATATTCTGAATAATGTCTTATTATTAATTATTGACAGTTAAAAGTCGTTGAGGAGCAACTCATGATGAATGTGACTCTTGTTTTTTTTTTTTAATTACTTTTTTTTTTTTATATTTTTTATGTGGTGAGTAAGGGCTTACAGATTGTGCTGTATCTATATCCATACAATCTTGCGTAGAGCTGTACAGAGAATAACTGTCTCAATCACCACATTTCTCTTGTCTTAAATAAAACTCAACCCCATTAAAGCTAACTTAAATTCATATGCAACACCAAATATTTGGCGAGATGTTAGAAATTAGTCTTAACTTGCTTCAAATTTTTTTTTTTTATTTATTTATTTATGATTGAGGGTTTAATAAAGAATAATGATAAGAGGCTGGCATGATCAATTGGTCATCATGGATAAGACTTTTGAGCATTATTTTCATAAACAATTTCAATAAGCACTTGGAGAATTTCATATTATATATATATATATACTAGAACTTCAATAAATTAATACTCCATAAATCGATAACTTCACTTGAATAATATTTTTTTTCGATTCCAACTCGGTAAAAACATACTGAATTATTAGTTCATTGATTTAATATTTCGTTAAACCAATAGAATTTTATTAGTTTCGACTGTATTAATTCGTACATGTTTAAGTGTATATCTAAATTCCAAACAATATTATCTTATAAAATCTCAAGTTTTCATTTGTTTATACAAATTAAAGTCAAACCCCCTCTTACTTTTACCATTCTATATTCATGATGTCTGCCATATATCATCATTACGCCATCTCAAAAATTAAAAAAAACAAATTAAATTACCGTCATACAAAATTGAGGTAAGGTCAAATTACGAAAAAATCCCTTATGTTTGGATAATTGCAAGAGTAAAAAGCAGTTTACCCCCTAAACAAATGCCCGTTTTGCACTTTGCCCCCCAAACAAAAAAAATTTGCACGTTCTTACCTAAACTACGCTTTTTGTTGCACGGTGCCTCAAAATTGGAATATTCAGGCCATTTTGACCGGATTCTTACTCACGTGCTTTTCACGTGAGTTTTAAAGGGGCAAAATAGTCTATTCACTTACCTTCTTCATAAATTAAAAAAAATAACAAAAAAAATAAAAACAAAATTGGGAAAATCTGCAATTGGGGGTTTCCTCTTAGTTTTCTTCCCCGACGAACACCACCAAAATCAAGAACAAGAAACCACCACCGCCGCCGCCATCACCACCGCCGCCGCCACAACCACCAACAAATAATTCAACAATTTCAATCTTTTCCCAAATTCATCACCCTCAGGCGCAACAATTCGAACCACCACCTCCTAAACAAAGCCCAATCCACAAGCTCCATCTGCTTGCTCCTCCTCTTCACAACTCTACTCCTCTTCACACTCTCCACCCTACCCTCCACCGCCGTCGCCCGCTTCTTTACAAGGAATGGGCAATATACCAATTATTTGGTATATTGGATCCCAATTACCCTTCCCCAACAATTATTACTGTCTCTACACTTCCTGCAGAAACCGGAAATGGCAGAACCCTCACTCTCTCTTTCACCACCAACACCGCCGTTTTTGCGCAGCTCAAAACCTCTGACAATGAGAGTAGAATTAACAAGGGCAAGAAGAAGAACAAGAGCACGGCAACTAAAATTGAAGCACCTGATCCTGGCGGAGCTCCGGCGGTTTCCGGCGGCGGAAGTGGTGGAGATCCGAAAATTCCGCCGCCGAAGGTCGATTCGTGGAGGCTGAAGGGTTTGCCTAGAAAAGTGTTGTCGATTCTCTCCAATTTGCCCCTGGCGATTGCTGAGATGTTTGCTGTTGCTGCTTTGATTGCAATAGGTATTATAATACTGTAATTTTTGTTTTTTTTTATTTATTTATGAAGAATGTAAGAGAATATACTCTTTTGCCCCTTTAAAACTCACGTGAATAGCACGTGTGTAAGATTCCGGTTAAAATGGCCTGAATATTCCAATTTTGAGGTACCGTGCAACAAAAACTGGAGTTTAGGTAAGAACGTGCAAATTTTTTTTGTTTGGGGGGCAAAGTGCAAAACGGGCATTTGTTTAGGGGGTAAACTGCTTTTTACTCTAATTGCAATCACCCATGAACTATGAGTTTTCTTACGTGTCCACATTTACGATGTCAGATTCAATATAATATTTGGAATGTTCTCTAGTTTGCACTCGTTTTGCGCTAAGATGCAGTTTCTGATATACCATACATAATATAATATTTACAAGTCAAAAGACACGAACGGGTGAAACGAGTACAAACTGGAGAATAAGTGGACTAGAAACGATGTCACTCGAATTCATTCTCACTCTAATAGCTAGTGATCATATACAAAACGAATCGTAAACGTGTAAAAAGTTTCATAGTTCAGGTGTGGCTGTAATTATCCAAAACATAAGAGACTTTTTCGTAATTTTTCGTAACGTAACAAGAATTGTCTCTAATTTGCTCTGTTTTTTGCTTCTTCTTCCCGGAAACTTCCTGTAACCTTCTTCCACAAAACTCAACTACAAGAATGTCATTTTCATTCAACAAGTGGTCCGTACAGACTAGTAGTACTACCTTAGAAAAATAAATAAAATTGTATGACTCAATCTTCTAGAAGTTTGCAAGAAATAATCTCCTCCTCCTCCTCTGCATATATATATATACATATACATCAAGAATTACACACAATCAAAACACAAACATATATATACATATACATAAAAAAATGTCTCCTCTGAGTAAAATTCAGCTGCACCAGATATTCAACAAGCTAGACAAAAACGGCGACGGTCTAGTATGCACAGACGAGCTGATGTGGCTGCTCGAGAGAATCGGAGTCCGGACGAACCGGGTCGAGCTCGAACGGTTCGTGGGCGAGGAGGCTCTCAACGCCGTTGATTTTCTCTTCTTCTACGAAGCTCTGACGATCGGCGGCGGGGGCAGTTTGGTCAGAGAAAAATACGATCTTGAAACGAGAGATGAGGTGCTGGAGATGGATCTTCGAAGGGCTTTCAGGGTTTTCGATTTGAACGGCGACGGTTACATTTCCGGCGACGAGCTCCGGGTTGCGCTGTCCGGATTGGGGCTGTGGGATGAGGATTGCGGCGCGGATTGCGAGGCTATGATTGCGGCGTACGATAGCAACTCCGATGGGTTTCTTGATTTCCACGAGTTTAAGGATATGATGTTGTTTGATTCCTTGGCTTCTCCGTGAAAAGCTATTCTTTTTTTTTTTTTCTTTTTTTTATTTATTTATTTTGTGTGTGTGTGTGTGTTTTTGTGAATACAATACAGTATAAATAATACTTATGTGGTGTTTGCGAACGTTTTTCTAGAGTGATTATGAGCTTTTTAATAATTAAAAAAATTGATTTTGAAGAAAAAAATTTCATAATCACTTTGGAAAAGCGTTTGCAAACATCATCTTACTAGTATGTTGTTAGATTTTGAAATAATAATGTTAAGAAAGTTGATTTAAAGCTTATGTTGCACATACACGAAAACGGTGATTCAGGAAATGGAAACGAAAAAACGAAATTTCCATAAATTAGATACGAGAGAACTTGAGGAAAATGTATAAATATCAATAATATAGAGGTATATTTATGAATATGCTATATAAACAAATATTATATTTTATTAATATATATATTTTTTATATATTTTCATACAAATATTTTCAAAAATAATCCTATTATCAACTATCAATTTGAATTGGGATCCTGTAGGTCAGCCTGCAGCATGCAAGTTGCATGCCGTCTTGGACCGTTAGGGGTGACCC